TGGAGAAACCCAAAAAATATACTCCCAACTTTTTTTAACCACTTGGAAAAGTCATCAATTTACCAAATGTCTTTTTAGGAACTATTGGAGGTGCTCTAAGTCAACTGTTCCACTTGGAAAACTCATCAATTTACCAAATGTCTTTTTAGAAACTATTGGAGATGCTTTAAGTCTTATAAATCAGATTGGAGGCATTTACACACTATGTATCTTGTAGTTTCTAAACCATAGTTTTGTCAAAATTATAGATTTTTCTAGAGTTTACCGGTTATCATGCATCTTGTACTCATCAATTTACCAAATGTCTTTTTAGAAACTATTGGAGATGCTCTGAGTCTTACAAACCGGATTGGAGGCATTTACATACAATGGATCTTGTAGTTTCTAAACCATAGTTTTGTGCGTTTACATACAATGGATCTTGTAGTTTCTAAACCATAGTTTTGTTAAAATTATAGTTTTTTCTAGAGTTTACTAGTTATCACAGATCGTGTAGTTTTTAAACCATAGTTTTGTTAAAATTATAGGTTTTTTTTTCTAGAGTTTACTAGTTATCACCTCTCTTTTTTAGACTACATAGTACAACCTCGAGATGAGATTGCCTACATTAAAAGCACAAAGTCGTTAAATCCTAACATATTTATTCACACGGAGAGTCAAACCTGTAACCACTAGGTTACATGCCCTTTGTCAGTTATCACCTCTTTTTTTTCCTAAGGCATAGTGTTATACTCCCTCCGTTCCAAAAAAAGTGATGTTCTATGATTTAAAATTTGTCCCAGAAAAAATGATGTTCTGAGTTTTAGACACATTGTTGGCCCACAAATCCGACGCCTAATTACCAATTGAGATGTGCTACTGATTGTTGCCTACCTCGGATCTCTAGCATGCATCGTGTCTTAATTAGGAAGTAAACCACGCGACATCTCTTCTTTGAAGGAAATCATGTGTGACATACTAAGGGTATTAAGGATATTTCTCTTCTCCACTAATCTATCTGAAAAATTTCAGAACATCACTTGTTCTGGGAAGGAGGGAATATCTGTTAGGTTTATATAAAACCACTCCAAAATTATAAAACATGCCCTAATTTTTTGAGAAACTATAAAACATGCCCTAATAAAAGGTAGATTATACAAGCCGTGCTAACCAACAGCATTAAGGCCCTCCCGCAGCCCGGCTGCATTCTAGGACTAGTTCCCAAAGTTCCCTCTGAAGCCTCAACGAATCGCCGCCGAGCACAACGCGTCGGTCCCTCGGTTCCTCCCTCCCGGATCCTCCGCCCGCCGCTCTTCTCTCTATCCAGCCTGTGGTGGAGATCCGTTCTGGTGAGGACTGATTCCTTGTTTTGATGTTCAGTGATCCTTGCTAGTTGCTTGCTTCGATGGATTTAATCGTTACAAGAGCTGCGTTGTTCTCAATCAAACCCGGGTTTTAGTCAGGCGGTTTCGTATGGTTCGTATCGTTTTATGCTAATCCAATCAAATGTCCATGTTTTTGTTTAGTTTCTTCTTTCGGTGCACAAGATCGACGTTAATCTGACTCAATTGCCCTTCTTGCACCTGATTAAGTTGCGGATGAGGCAGAGCTCCCCATGCGGCAGGGTGGGGCAGCTGCCCCACCTACCGTCGGCAGGAGCACCTAGTACCCCTGTCTTCTTCCTCAGGCGTGGCATTCGAGCGGCGGCGTTCGGCCCCCGACGGCACGGCTGGACACCTGACTGACTGGACTAGAACACGTTGTTTGGAGAGGGTCCAGAGCCGCAGGAGCGAAGGCCAAAGGCCCAATAGAAGAAGAGAGCCCATCAGCACAGCATCAAGGAATCACCTAGCTCTCGATCCCCAATCCCCCGGCCCCGTCAATTCGTCACCGCGACGTGCATCAGGCCGCCGCCGCGGGGCCCTTAGATTTTGGACTTGAAGGAGGCGGCCCCTTGCTACGGCTGCCTCTGCCTGCCGGCGCCCCTTGCTGCCTGTGCTGCTGCCGCGCACTACTAGCTGCAGCTCGCCCCTTGCTGCGGCTGCCGCGGTGCCGCTGCCTGCCGCCACCCCTTGCCGTGACAGCCTTCAAGGTTGCAGGTTGCCGCTCGCCCATGCCTATCTCAGCGGCTCAGTGCTGCAGTGCAGGGGAAGGGCAGCAGCCAGCAGGTTACGGAGGACGGGGTGGGAGATGGTGACGGTGAGCCGGTGAGATTTTACTTGTATCGTGTAATTGAGATTAGTTCTTTTGGTATGTCTCCTTATTGTAATGTGTGTTTTTAGATGTATTATCACATATAATTATAATTATATGCTAACTGCTTTGCTATTCAAATTTACAAGTTTTTTAGCTCTTGGATAATTGGATTTTGGACTCTTGTTTAGTTTTTTTTAACCTAAAATACTGCAGGGGAAGCCCCCACAGTAAAGTTTTTATTTGAAATAAAGCGAAGCCCAACAACTTTTCGAGAAACAACAAGGAGAGACTCTTGTTTAGTTGGTGTTTGTTGAATCAATAGATTATATGAAGTTCATATGGGCTACTATCTTCTAAGGAGAGGTACCGTCTTCAATTAATCTTTAAATTTGTCATATATTAGATATTCATGTGTGTTCATATGATGTGGTTAAAATTTTTGTGTCCGTTGTTCGCCCCACCTAAATTTCCGGCCGAGCTCCGCCACTGGCCTGATGCAACTTACCTTCTTGGGTTATCATGACACCTTTTATACGAAAAAAGATCATTGTCCCATTACGAATGGCTTTAGTGCTACACCTTTTATTGATTCTCGTATTCAATTTGGAGATCTTAATTTCAATCCCCATTTTTATTTTTATTTTTGTATGCGAAACTATGCTGATTATGGTATGCATGTTCATGAGAATGGGATAGTTCATAAACTTGTTATGTTTGTGTTCATATCTATACATTGAAATGGTGATGCTCGTTTTGAAAAACTCCAGCTTTTGAATTGTGCATAACATTCTTCCTGAAGAAGATACAGAACATGACCCTTTGAATTTATGACACTTGTAACATTTGCAAGCTTGGTGTGTTTTTACTTTATTTCCTAATAAAAGTCTGTATCTCCAGTTTTCTGTAAAAAGTTAAGAATTTGTTTTCTGTTATCGATTTGTCCAGGGTTGCTGTGTATATGGTATTTTTGTGCTGGGGTTTCTGGATGTGCACGAAGTAGTGTCTCCTACCATTCAACCACACCCATTTGCAGGTTCCATGACCAATAAAAACATGATTAATTGTCATGGGCTGACACTCACAGTGGTAAGCTAATGCGATCTGGAACTGATGCTGATGCTGGCTCCTGTGCTGGATAATAAACGTACATTTCATATCAGGGAAATAATCTAGATCATATGTTTCATTTTCTTATTTAAGCAACATTCTGTCTGAAGGATGTGTTTGAAGTTGCTCCTTTTAATTTTTTTGAACGAAAATTGCTCTGCTCCTTTTAATTGGTAGCCTGTTTCTCAGCTCATCCCCTCATTCCGGTGCTGAGCTTCAGCCAAAAAGAAGAGCCATGTGAAAGAACGAACTTTTGGTCTTGAGAAGAGAGGACCACTTTGAAGTTATTTGCTAGATTTTTCAAGAATCATTTACATAATATTAACAAAGTTTGCCACTGAAATGGAGTCTGCAACCATTCTCGGCCACTATCACGTATAACCTGTTTTCTCCAATATATCTTCATCAATAAAGACTTCTTTCACAGCTTGCTCTGATACAATTTGTTACCTTCACTGAAATTTTTTCCTGTTGCTCCTTTTGCAGTAACCGGCCATTTCATCTCTGCTGTAACCATGAGTCTAGCTTGTCTAGTATGCCATGGAATGAACAGCCCTTCAAACTCCTTTAGAAGCTACTCAGTCTCAAGCTCAGAGGGGGAAAACCTGTGTGGAGCTGTAGTAGCTTGCCTATCTCGGAAAGTAATGCCTTCTGGAGCCGCCAATGGTGTTGGGACATCAAAGGTGACCCCTTTTCCTCTAATGGCTACTGGTCAGGGCACCGAGGGTGCTCCTCGCCTTCAACGGAGCCATGCTGTTTCAAGAGACCTCGTCAGAAACTGGAACTTCGATGAGATTGTTTTTGGAAACTAGAGTAGGGTGCTCAGTATTCGGTCTAGGTTGGACAAAAACTATCATCTGGCAGGGACAAGCCATCACTTGATAAATTTACTAGGATACTTCTGTCTATCCATGTACTGTATCAACAGTTTAGCACTCGTTCATTCAACAAGCAAATCATTAAAAGAGCACTGATACTTGAAGAACCAGTACCTGGTTTGATATATACGGAGTAGTTGTCAAATTGTGCTGTTATACCAACTTTTCGGTGTATTATTTTTTCCACATTACCTGTATATCAACATTTCCTATTACTGTACCTTAAGATAATGAACAAATTCCCTTTCAGCTTTCCCATAAGTCAATTTTCATAGGTTTTGCTTGGTGCATCCTTTTTAATGTGTTGGTGTCAATTGTGAACATATGAGTTGTGCATGCTGCTCAACGTATTGGTTTCTTGTAAAGTCTAAATGAATGGCAATGCTTCTGCCCGCATCAAATGGGGAATGGCTATTTAACTAAATTCTATTGGATATTTTGACTGTTTGACGAAGATGCAATGGCCCATCTCCTAGACCTCTTCCTACTTGAAGATTATAGTTGCCTTGCTTAAATTGAACATCCATGGGTTATAAGCAATTGAAGAGTTGATGCATTGTTGTTCTTTTCCATCGAAGCGTTGCAGGACTGAAGTGATTACTGCTCCTGCGACCAGCTTCTTTTGTACAGAAGGTAATTCACATAGGGTTACCAGCCTAGCCTTTTCTGAACAAAACATTTTCATTTGCATGTACACATGATAAATCCTTAACATTACATATAAAAACAACAGATCAAGTCTGCCAAGACAATTCTAACATTATGCTTAAAATAATGTGAAAGGGAAGTTAAAGGTGCCATGGTGGCTTGGTCACTCCTTATTGCAATTTAGTGATCTTGCTACGCAGCAACACAGGGCTTGAGCAGAGCAACAGCTTCCTTTATTTTTGCCATCGCAGTTTGAAGTGTAGGTAGGGATGCAGCATATGAAATACGAATGCACTTGTCATCCCCAAATGCGTCACCTGGGACAAGGGCAACCTAGAGTGCAATCCACAAATAGCAGTTATGGTATTTCAGCATATTCACAAAAGAATGCATAGAAATAAATTGCTGGTTCATACCTGTGCTTTCTCTAATAGGAAGATGCAAAGGGACTCGGAATTCTTGATAGTGCCAAACCCTCTACTTCAGACCCATAGTAGTAGCTGAAGTCAATGAACAAATAAAAGGCGCCCTGCAAATTTGATAATTTAGTGCCTGAATTTTCTTTATCATTTAGTCATTTTATAGGAGTATAGAACTAGGTTTCAGAACAACCATTGTAATATCTTCTTTTACCTGAGGTTCTGATATTTTCACACCAGGCAATTCCTTGAAGTTTTTCACAAGATAGTCACGGAGTTCCTGGAATGCTTTGACCATAGTTGATACTGCTTCACCACCAGCATAGCCAAGGTTCAGGGCTGCAAGCCCTGCCTTCTGTGATATGCTGCTGGCACCTGAGGTGAACTGCAGAAAACACGTGAGACATTGGCAACAAGATGATAAAACCATAGTTGTCTGAATTTGCAGAAGATAAGCCAATGCTACAACAGAAATAGTTTTGCTTACTTAAAAACCATTAGTTTTACTAGAAGAGCAGTACCACATCACTTAACCTAACATATTACAGATGAAGAAACACAGGAAATGAATTGTTCACCTGGTTTTGGATCTTTCCACATGCTGCAACAAAATGTTTAGGGGCTGCAAGGTAACCAAGACGCCAACCTGTCATAGCAAAAGCCTGTAAAAGTTGCATAATCAAATAAGAACTTGGTTATATTACCCAATGGTCAAGTTTTTGTCTTGGAATAAATTAGGCATCTAGTTCTGAAAAGGTACATTCTTTTTTTTTAATGACCTGAAAAAGGTACATTCTAATATTTACAATAAGGGTAATAAATAACAAAGCTAATAAAGCGCACACGCATTTCGGGAGAGGGGGTAACAAAGTAAACAGCAAACATATCTACCTTAGAAAAACCATTTATAGTTAATGTTCTTTCCCACATTCCAGGCAGTGAAGCAAAGCTTGTGTGTTTTGCAGGCTGATAGATAATATGCTCATAAATTTCATCAGATAAAACCTGCAAAATTAAATAAAATGACATTTCATGATGTTCATCGAGTGAAATTTAACAGGTTGATTAAAAGTTCCATATAAACCAAAGAAATTACCAGAAGCCTAGGATGCTTCTTAACTATATCGGCTATTTTCTCAAGCAACTCCTTTGGATATACTGACCCTGTTGGATTGATGGAGAGCAGAGAATTAAGAGCCTTGATTTCTCATTAATTTTCTCGGCAAGCAACTCTGTCCTTAACAAGAAATTCTCTGATATGTTTGTAGGAAGAATCACTGGAGTTGCATCAGCCAGTCTAGCCATCTCAGGATAACTGACCCAGTATGGGGCTGGAATCAAAACCTGAAACAAAGGGATCCCTTCACATTGTTAAGATAAACATCAGCACTGAATATTTTAATGCTACAGGCAATCCTCATCTATGAGGACATGCCACCAACATCTGTCATCCTGACCATTAATTGTTTTACATAATGCGGTAATCTGCTAGTACATGAATTGCTCTAGTGATGTGAAACAAAAAAAATGTGACACAAGGAAGAATATGGCCATATAATATCGATCGACGATCATCCACAAGTGACATACTTGTACAGTCACATAGTCAAATTCCTAGAGGCTGCATCTCCAAATCCCAAAACAAGGTTCGGTTTCGACATCTGTTATTCTAAAATTAGATTAAAAAAACATAATCCTCGACAAATTCCCAAAGCATGACCCAGAATAATGAAAATTGGTACTTGTGCTCATATAGATACTAATATAGCATCGACCATAGAAGTTTGATGCGCTAGGACAAAGTGGTCACCTCATCACCAGGTGAGCAAACTGCAAGCACAGCTTGTGTGATGCACTGCTTAGCTCCATTGCTCACCAGCACCTGATCTGGGAGGTAGGATATCCCGTTTTCCCCTGTACAGTCAATAATTAAACACGAAGTCATTCAGTTTTCTCAGTCAAAAGGTAACTCTGCGAAGACAGACGTCCATTCATACATCCACAGACCCTGGAGTTTAGCACAAATAGCTTTCCTCAGCTCCAAAGTCCCAGCATTAGGAGTGTACCTTGTATAACCATCCTTAATCGCATTCATCCCGGCCTGATAAAGGTAAGCAACGAGAATGTTTACCTGAAATATCCCAACTTGATAACAAGACATATTCTTGCTGAATACTCATCAACTATAATCAAGTATCTAATCAAGTACTCATCAACTTGATATCCCAACGAGTATCTAATCAATTACTCATCAACTTGATATCCCAACGAGTATCTAATCAAGTACTCATCAACTATAATGTGATTAAGTTTTATTTAACAACTGCATTCAGTGAGCCAAAACCGAAGGTGAAGTTGTAGGAAATTAGTGCAGGTAGCCCTCACCTCCGCGATCGCGGGCGGCGTGTCGAAGTCTGGCTCCCCCGCAGCTAGACCGATGACCGGCACGCCGGCCTGCCGCAGCGCCATGGCCTGATCGGTGATGGCCATGGTTTTGGACGGCCGCAGCGCGCTCACCCTCGGGCTGATGGACGTGTCCACCGCCTCCGCCCGCACCACCGCCATTCTGGCCCTCGCCGCGTGTTTTGTCCTCCCGCACGCCCTGCGGACGCAGCCATCCATGGAAGCCAACAGTTCCCCGGTAAGTTCACTGATTCAGAGCCAAGAAACCGAAGTACCCAACCGATCGCGGCATTGCAGAGATCGGCTGCTCACCTGACGGAGTTGGGACCGGAGGAGGCGGGTTTGGCGAGTGTGAAGGAGGAAGGGCCCGACGAGGAGGCGGCTGCCGCGGCGGGGTCATGGAAGTGGTAGCTGTCCAGCTTAACAGCAGTGGGACTGACGTCATCCGAGTAGTAGTTTGCAATCGTGCTGATGGTAGGTGGCCATGGTCGCGGTATTGGTAGGTAGGTGTTGGATGTCATAAAATCAAGCTTCGATCTCTTCTTTGCATTTTCTACTCCTTCAACCTGCCACCATTGCCCCTTCTTTGGATTTTCTCCTCCTTCAACCTGCCACATAGTCCCAAGAAACTCAGCTGTCCGGAGTAGACATTCCATTCCCTCATCGTGTTTGGTATTCACAGAGAAAGTCAGAGGAGGAGGCACGAGAATTTTCGGTATCCATCGCCATTGTCAGGTGCAGTAGCGAAAAGAATTAGTACTCCAGATTAGCAACGCCGTGCCGTGTTCAGAGGCCGGCTTCACTTTCTTACCTTGTTTGGTCTACTCGCTTGATGCAAACTCTGCACAAACCTAGCGCACCCATGTTTGGGACAAGTGAGGATCACTTGCTCGTTAACTGATGCAGCTGTAACCCAGCAATGTAGGCCGTGGCACGCCTATACCATCACCATACTGGAGAACAAGATTAATAGCTGAGCAGCTTGCTATGACAAATTGTCAGTGCTACAAGCATCGCGCCGATTCAGACAAAATGAATAAGCAATACTTGCATATGTATACTGAAAATTGGGGCTATCTGGGTCTACGAAATGCTAGAAGTCCTTGATCATTATTAATGACCACAAATGTAAGTACACTTAAGGAAAATATAAAAGGCATAACCTAAAATGGCTCTTGAACAGAGGTAGAACCAAACTAGCATCATGCAACAACATACATAAAAGGTTGACAGTGCTGTTGTCGTTGTCATCGATGGCGGCACCCATCAGCTATCTCCGTTCTGCTGCCCATAACTGCAAGATCCTGAAGGCAGGAAGGAGAAGGGGTTCTCAGAGATGTCAAATCCGGGGCGAGTGAAGTCGTCAAGCGCGCCAAAGCAAGGATCAAAGCTCAGTGGCGAGAAATAACCACGCACATCATCAGCCATTTTCATGTCGAGGTTTGATATACCATCAGACGAGCTAGACGGGAAGCTATACACCATGCTCCTCGCCATTTCATTCATTGGCTCGCTGTCGTGTGGTTGTTCTGATGCTTCTGATACTTTCACATCTTCCATGGGGAGCGCAGGTGTGTGGCCTTGGAAAAGTGCAACATGTCCAAAAAGCTTGTCCTTCCTGGAGAAGGTTGTTCCACAAGAACAGAGCCACTTATCACGACCACAGTGCTTCTCATGAGTCTTCAAGTCGGCAATGACAGAGAACTTCTTGGTGTTGCAACGGCTGCAGGTGTAGCTCTTGTCACAGTGGCTTCTCTTGTAATGGTTCTTCACACACAAGATTGTTTTGAGAGGCTGGAACTTCTTGTGCTCTTTGTTCCGTTTGCAACCCACAAATGGGCATGAGTACCTTGTAACTGGTGCATGATCTGCACCAGAATCCTTTGTGGGTTTGGCAAGAGCAGCTGGAGTCTTGTACTCATCTCCATGGCCCCTCATGTGCATCCTTAGGTTAGCATCTCTTTTGAAACCCTTACCACAGATCAAGCAGAAATGAGTATGTGGTGCTAAAATCTCCTCCTTTTCTAATTGCAAGACTACATATGAACCAGGAGGAAGATTCTCTCCCTCACCACCATCATCACTCTCCTTCACATCATGGTCCTCCATCGGAGTTGGTTCAGACCCTTCCCCACCACAGGGATTTGGGCATTTGATCAGCTCATCTCTTTCATCTTGAGCAGTATTAAGGTTATTCATCAGTTCATCATAATCAGAAGTTTTTCCTGTGTCAGGAATATCAGTCTTGCTGTCTACACTTGGTCGCTGATTAGCATTCATGCCAAAGCCCATAGGAGAACCAAGAGTGTTGCCAAGCTGCCTGACTGCTGGATTGCTGCTAAGAAGTGGGTTCTTCATTGAAGGGAGCAGGGAACCAGCAGTAGATATGAGTTGGATTATAATGCTAGTGAGATCAGCGGTTATGAGCTGCTGCTTTGCCGCTAGCTCAGAGGAACCGCCAGCTACTTGGTTCTCTCGATTATTCATGGACTGCACAATATCTTTTACCTGCTTGATCTTCTGTTCAAGGAAGGTTAGGTTGCTCACTATAGCCTGCGGGTCCCAATCTGTATTCTGTGAAGGATTTGATTCAAACTGGTTGCCAAATTTAGCTTCATTGTCATTAGGAAGATACAAACTGGAGGAGGGAGGCCCAAAGAATGGAGGAATGCCTGGCAAAGATTGACCAGGTCTTGGAAAATAAAACTGCTCCACTGAATTGGAGCGGAGAGTCTGTTGGTCAGGGTCAGCATTCCTTACCATGCTGCTTGCCATCGTTGAAGAAGCTTTCATGGTGGCTTCCAAACTTGTCATCCTGCCTTCCATTTCAATTCAACACCGCTCGGGTCTTGCTTCAGTATGCTCTTCTACCTCAGGAAGTAGAATCATCGGATGTAGAATTGTTCTATTGGGCGAGTATGTAACCCTGCAACAGAGAGATTCAGAGATTATAAGTGGCAGAAAGTTAAATTCGACATGTCACGGACAAGGTTGGAAGGAAGCTATGACTAGTCGCCTGCACAAATGGCCTTTCTCGAGTATCAAAAGGTAAACAGAAAAGAAACAAGGAAGAAGAGGGTGCCTATTTCTAGTTGTAAAAAGGCATAACAAGCCTACATCTTTATTTCACATGTATAACATGCCAGAAATAGGGAAGGTACATAAATTTTTTTTTCAGTAACAAGTGGCTTACTTGTCAGGATCATAACATCATGTCAGGATCATAATATTTTTTACGGAATAGGCTTAATTGAGCAGCAGAGCTCCTGCTTTTTGCGTTCAGAAAAAAAAAATCTTTATTTACCGAATAGTACTAACTATTTTACTGATCGGTAACTTCTCGAGATCTTCACTACGATAATCTAATCTGAAAACTGACAGATCTGTGGCCAGAAGGGTAGCACATCCCAAAAAGTCAGACCTTAGCAATATTTAGCAAATATATAAAGGAGCATGGACTGCATGGTACCTAGCTGAGGCAAACAGAAGGATAGAGATGAAACTTCAATACACGCAACCCAAAGGTCGATTGTGAAGATATGAATCATGAGGGGATTATAACTGTTCAGTTCAGTCAAAGACCCTAACGAGATCGAATCGAAGATCCCAAATCTCCTAATAATCAAATAAAGATTCAGTAAACAACTTCCCTTGTTTGTCCCCCCCCTACAAATTTCAAGAACACGAAGCAAACCAACCCGACACCAAGAACACAGATTCCAGATCAAGAGATCTCAAATTCCTCATGTATCATCCTTTCCCCCTACCTCAAGATGCTATTCCACCGAAAAAAAAGGGGGACATATTTTATCATTTATTAGACAGGGACCAGATCAGACAAAGCAGGCAACAGTAGAGGAAAGAAATCATCACAGGGAGGACGAGCACAAGGCGAGCAACATAGAGCCCCGATTACCCTCGCCGGTGTCTGAATCCATGTTCTTGTTTGAATCCAGCGTGACGGAAACAGGCAAGAGAAGGTCGTAGATAAACAATTCAGAGGTGGACTTACCGATCAGCAGGATGGAGTTGCGGCTTCCGGGCGAGAAAATGGGAGCCTGGATGGCGGGTGCGGTGGGTTTATAGGAGGAGGAAGGAGCCCCGAGCCTTCCAGCCTGCTCCCCCTCGTTGACCTCTCGAGTTCCCCTCCCTCCTCCCTCCTCCCTCTCTCTCTCCCTCACCTTCCGTTACCTCGCTCTCGCTGTGCGAGGTCCGGTCATCCGGTGCGGTGCGCCCCCACCCATCCAGCGCGGTGCCGTGACGTGCTACAGCTGCTTCTACTATCCCGTTTGTGTGGAGCCGTGAGGTCAGACTCACCATCAGCGTCAGCGTCTCTAGCGCCGCACGGGAAGCAGGATAAGAAAAGGGCAAATCTTCGGTACAATCCGTAAAACCCATTAAAACCATAGTTTTCAAAGAGAGGGGTGAGCCTGGTGCCCTGGTGCGTCGTTAGATCAGGTGCGGAGCGGTGGGTCCACTCCTTCGATTCGAGGCCAAAGAAAAGAAAAATGTCTTGTCGGCAAATGTGTGAGGCCCAATCCCAACGAGGGCCCGCAGCTCCTGTCGTTCTCTTCTCTTTTTATTTTTCATCCCTCGATTTATCAGTTGCTCAAAAAAATCCCTCGATTTATCCAGCAAATCTTTTTAAATTTGATTAAACGTACATACAAAGAAATACTCGTATCTATAATACATAGTAATAAGTATTATTAAACTAATAATGAAATACTTTCTCCGTTCAAAAATACAATTTTAAGTATGAATCCGGATAGACATTTATCTAGATTCATACCTAAAACTATATTTTCTAGGACCAGAGGGAGTGCTCATTTAAAAATATAAATATTAATATTGATTTCTATATGATTGACCAAACTTAAAAGATTTAATCTCACGATAAATAAGATGTGTATTTATATCTATATCTATATCTATATATATATATTCCTCCATTTTAAATTAGAAGTCGTTTTGATTTTTTTGGTCCACTAGATAGAATTTGCTACGTGTCTAGACGTATGTTAGATCTAAATACATAGCAAAATAGATATACCAACAAAGTTAAAGCGACTTATAATTTAGAACGAAGGGAATATCTTATAATCCTAAACTAACTCTATTAACATTCTATCTTCATATGCAAGTTGTCCATCTTAGCAATCCACTGTAACATGCAATTACAGCCAACAAGCATATGTAATTATGATATTCACAACACGCATCATCCACTGACATATGTTTAGTTCTTCACATCAGCGTACACATTATCCACCAATGTTAGTTTATAATAGTTTATCATGTTATCCCGTTATATAAGTAATTATATGTAGTCCACTTTCTTTCTAAATCACTGGCGGTAATTCTTACAGCAACGTGCGGGTACTTTTACTTATTTATTTTAAAACTGAGGGATTGGTTTGGTAGCGCTGGCTCTTCTCCCCATCTTCTCTACCTTTCCTCGGTGCTGTGCGCCTGTGCTGCTGCGGACTCGACCTGAGGTTGGAATCGAGTAGCCCCACGCTACTCGGCCAATGGGAAAAAGGAGTCGTGACAAATAGAGCGTGCCAAAGATGTGGGAATATCTGAGAGTATGATGCACTTTTCTTTCAGTGCTGGTAGTTGTTTTGCTCGATGCCAATTTCATTTGGATTTGTGCTGTACTGCTGCCTGCTGGGGCCTGCTTGATTTGCAGGTACGGATGCCATCATCAGCGACTAAACACTCCTGTTCAGAGGCAAGAAAAGTGCTATATACAGTTATAACTATTTTATGATATGTGAACTGAGCATAGTTTAGTTATACAGTTTTAGACTTGGCACATGTGTTTTTTTAGTTTATTATAGGATTTGGAGACACTATTCTCTCCGACGTTAGATGGTGTGCACACCGACAACTATGTGTCTCTGATTTTTTTTTTCAATCTTAAGATTTATCTACTCGTCTTTCAGAGATGCTCGCACGGATAGGCTGCACATGAGTACATGTCTTTATAAGGATGAGTGCTCATACATGTATAAAGTGTATGATGTATGCTATGTATTGTCAAAGGAAATATATTTAGTAATCACAAAAAAAGAAATATATTTATGACTTGACATAATTAAATTCTAGATTTAAAACTTTTAGCATCAATAATTTCAAATTGTCCACTTGGAAATATAGAAGTTGATCGTAAAATATTTGTCTCTGTGGCGGCCTTTTTATCGAGTTTCTAATACCTGTTCTTTTAATTAGAATATAGTTATAATATCTAAACAAGCACGATGTTATGAAAGTAGCTTTCATAACGGATTCATATGTATGATTTTATGTTTCCAACTAAATATTTCGGTAATTGCTGCTGGTTAAACATTTTAAAGTTTGATGAAACAGTTAAGTATTTGTGTCATTTTCATATTAGCTATATTTTTGACATATTGTAGTCAAACTTACACCTTGAAAGCCATGAATGATCAATAGCACTATGCTAATTCTGCTTGACAAAGCACTAATTAAAGTGCAATTGGTGGTCACTGAATCAACTCTGCTCGTTCTGTCATATGCCACAGCCGTATAGCTAAGGGCGGTCCCAATGAAGAAAACTAGTAGTTTCTATAATATAGGATACCGCACCAAAAAAATACTGCTTTTCAACCCATGGTTTCTATGAGTAATAATTATTTTCTCTTTCTCTCTCCCAACTTATCTTCTTCCTCCAATAGGAGTGTGACACGAGCCCCCTAGAAACTAGTGGTTTCTCCTCAATGGCGATTTCATGGTTTCTTGGTACATTGGGTCAAGAGAAGACCTGGTTTTTTCGTGAGGAAACCATTTCTATGATTTTTGCTCTCTTTCTTCATTAACTACGCTGCCATGTCAGTATTTTACCTACGTGGTAAGTCATTTAATGATAATAGAAACCATCATCAATACACCACTGAGACTGCCCTAACGTCAGATCGAGTAGGACCATTCCTAATTCCTCATCAGGAAGCGGCAAATTCGTGAGATTCTGTAGGATATATATACGTAATTAATTAATGTGTTGTTTCACGTGGAATTCCCTTGCTCTGGTAGTTCCCAGGCTCTGACAAGTGTCATGAACGCTTGCCATGCATGGCATGCACTCATGCTCCACAAGAGAATTTAAGAATGAACTTTTCCCGGAGCTGGAGCTGAAACCTAACGCTGCGAATGCAACGGTGCAGATCACGCTGTCCAATCCCCACGACGGCACAGCGTGCATCACAACGGCCACGGCCCTAGAAGAACCACACCAAGGCCCTTGTTTAGTTCACCCCAAATTCAAAATTTGGCACTATACAAAAAGAAGATTCTCCGTCACATCAAACTTGCGGTACATGCATGGAGTATTAAATGTTGACGAAATCAAAAACTAATTGCACAGTTTGGTTGTACTTTACGAGACGAACGTTTTAAGCCTAATTAGTCAACGTTTGGACAATTATTATCAAATACAAACGAAATGCTACCGTAGCTACAGTAGCTACGGCGGCGCCGATTCTGGCCTCAACTAAACGAGGCCCAAGCCGCGCAACCATTTGACATCACCAGTGAGGTCACACAGAGGGACAAAACAAAACAGATCACAGAAAGGCCTTGTTTAGTTCGCGGTTAGGAATCAGTATTTGACACTGTAACATTTTTGTTTGTATTTAACAATTATTGTCCAATCATGGTCTAACTAGGCTCAAAAGATTCGTCTCGTAATTTACAGTCAAATTGTGTAATTAGTTATTTTTTTATCTACATTTAATACTCCATACATGTATTCAAAAATTTGATGTGATAAAAAAAGAGCGAAAAAACTTAGAATCTAAACAAGACCAAAGAATACCGGGCTCTGCTCCTCCAGCAGTCCAAATCAGTACCGGGTGTAGTGGCCCCACCCCCTCCTCCAATAGGAGAGATTACCCCTCCTCTCACTTCAAGACTGCAAAACGCAACGTGTGATCTTGCACGTTTACACTCGACAATTCGAGCTATGGTGTCAGCATCGTGGGCCTTTTTTTATTATTATCCAGAGCAGGACAATTGCCATCACGGATTATGGTTGACCACAGAATTTGATACTAATATTCTGAAAAGTAGTGCAAATTGGAAGGGTGAAACGATATTTTAGAGGAAGACAGCGAATCAGTAGGTGAGCAACTGTCTAGAGAAAGTCCAACTGACTTGCGTAACCCACAAATAAATATGAAGGACTTATCCTGCAAAGACAGATCAAGTTGATCTCTCAAACGTATTCAAAATTAAAGGCTAGCCATCACAGGGGAAGAATTAACATCTTAACAGGAATCCAAGGCACGTATGCGTGCAAGACAGAGCACCATAGTGACATAGGGAAAAGCTGAGAGAGATTCCAGTGGCACAGAAACGTGCACGTACCAAGCAGCAAACATTTAACAAGAAAATCATTGCAGATTTGAAAGGGTTGCTGTGACCCTAATGCCGTCGCCACATCAAAAGATACTCCGTGCACCTTTCCTGCTGCACCACACATCAGCATGGTCCTGCCGTAAATTTGACTAGATTTTAAAAAAATACATGCAACATTTGTATCTCTAAATAAATTTATTATGAAAATAGATTCAACGATCTATTTAATGATATTAATTTTTATCATAAATATTATATATATATGTTGTTTCTTGGGAAACGAAAACGACAGTTATTTAGGGACGGAGGGAGTATGCATCACGAGTCTCACATCCTTTTGATTAAAAAAAAGTTAAGCAGCAAATCAAGGCAGATTTTACTTAATAACGATGACATAGATGCTTCTCATGCATGGTTGAAAATATATTACATAGTATCAGTTTATCCAGGCGCCCCATTGTTTGCTGGTGATGATACTGTACACAGGAGCTGTGACGACCCGGAAGAAATAAAATGGCCTTCGTACTTCAAGGGCATTGTTGCATTGTATAATAATATAAATACAAGTAGGGTTCATTTAGCTCGCAACGGATTCCTGAACTTTTTCCGAAAGGTGATGAAAGCTAGGGAGCCAAGGAGCGGCCATGATGTTACAAAAGCAATGTAGGCAAGCAACCAGACTGACCTCCCTTTGTATCGAGTCAGTTGGTTTATAGATCTCTTGACAGGAGCAATGATCTCATGAAGCTTATTGCCGTGGATGTCATCACCTTGCTGTTTTGTTGGCCCTGCAGGGCTTTCGTTCCCCACTCCACTGGCCTTTTCATTGTGGTTCAACGCAGATACCACATTCTGTCGTCTACCGCCCGCCTCGTTACTTAATTGTTCTTCATCAACTGCATGGTTCGAAGGTGAGCCATCACTATCAGGGCCATCTTTTGTTACTGCGGCTACCATTCCATCTTCCATGAGATTAACATACGGACTCTTATCAATGGAGGATTCCAAAGAAGAGTGCAAAACATGATCATTTGCCTGTATTTAATCATGAGACGAAATATTTTAGTCAACATACAGAAAAGCTGAGCATTTAAGATGGCAAATTTCATTGATGAATTAGTGCCCTGCACACACCTTCTGCCCATGCATGTAGGAGCTGTCATGAAGAGCAGAAAGGAACTCGGAAGTAGCTCCAACCCACCTACAAAATATATCAGATGACATCAAATTCAGGTTATCCATTAACAGAAGATATATATACTGTAATACTCAATGTTGACATCATATAACTTTCATATTTATAGAAGACATACCATAGTCTTCGAGCAGTTAGTCCTTGAAAGAATGCAAGATGACCACCATTCGGAGTAGTTGCTAAAACAATGTTCTTATTGGCCCTAAATCAAATCAAGACGCTTCTGATTAATATATTATTATGGATCATAAATCAAATAAAGATCCTAGTGATTAAAGATTAATACATAAACAGAACTGTTCAGAATGAGGAGCATGATTTGACAAGAAAAATTCACCTGCATTCATCCCAAGGAATAGCCTCCCTTGTGCAAAGGGGATCATCCAAAGCATTGATACAAAGCAAGGGAACTGACACATTTCCAACGTAACTAGCACTGCTGCACCGGCGATAGTAGGTATCCACTGTCTGTAAGGGGGGAAAAGATCACTGCACACGATCAGACATATTCAGATTTTTCAACATTATCAGCTGTTACAGCAGTACTTGAAATATTATCTGTTTATAATAGAGAAGTGAATGCCATATAGAAGCCATATGATTGAGGGTACCTCATATCTTGCGATAACACAAGTAGCATGGTGGTCAAACTCCCGGATAGATCGTGACTGCCAAATTAGAGAGAGAAAAAAAATAAACAGTGGGATATCATATGAACTCATGAAGAGCCCATGAATAGAAACACCAAATTTCTCTAATCTATGAATTCAAAAGGCTACATAATTAGTCAAACAATTGGCAGCTTGAAGATTATCCTTTTCATAACACAAACTAGCAAACCACAAAAACTAATTACGAGGGCATGGAACTGATCTACCTTTTCTTTTTCTAAAAAAAAAAAGATAAAGAGGTTGGGATTTATTAAAAAAACTGTAAATACTATATAAACATACACAGTTTGATACCAACAAAGATTGCAGGAGAGAGAGTCAAACCTTTTTAATACCTTCCCAGTTTGCAAGTCGGGCCAAGATAGGTTGATGTCTGCAAAAGGCAAAGGTTAATGCTTCCTCAATAGTGAATAGTGATCATGCTCTTATTATTTGTGACAGTGCTAGGTGGGTGGATTGCATCCACCAAAGATTTTGTGCATTTAATTGGAATTTCCATTCCTAGAAGGCAGAATGCAGTTATATTGTCATAATGCCTCTGACTGCTGTGCAAGAAATTTTACTATAGTGAAAGCAGCAGCAAGCAAAGGATAGAAAACAGATAACACAAGCAATTCATGCAGCCAGGCATGGAGGACACACATATCTAGCACCTCTCAGTTTCAGGAGAATACTCAGCTAAGTTGTGGTTTATGAGGGCCTATTCAGGGTGCTGTCCTGTTTTGGCAATGGGGTCCAATAGGGAAATCATGGGCAACACACAAATGCCATTTCTTCATGTGGCTGGTTGCACATAACATGTGCTAAACTGCTGATCGACTTGCACGACGGAGTTTAATACACCATCCTCGATGCCCACACTGTGATCAGGCTGAAGAGATTATCCATCATCTGCTCGTCACCGGTGTTTTTGCATGACAGTTCTGATTCAGCCTGCAGGCCCTTCCACCGCAGCATGGGGAGACGCCCTTTGAATCTTTGATGACTGGTGTGTCTAGAGCTAATGATATGGTCGACGTCCAGGCACGGCAAGGCCTTAATTCCCTCATTGTCTTAGGGGCATGGTCACTTTGGAACCATCGCAACTGATGTGTCTTTGATGGAGCTCCACCAAATGTAGCTGGAGCCTTTTTGCTCACCAGCAAGGAGATGCAGTTGTTGTATGGCTGGGACTCGGTATTTCCTACCTGGATGCTCTAGTGCCAGGAGGCGGTTAGGTGCTTAGGTCGAGTTCTTTTTTTTTATAGTCAAGAGTGCCCATGTAACCTAAGAAACTTCGGGCGTGGGTGTCTGTGTCTGTAAGAGCTCCTACCATTTTATTCTTCTTTAGTTAATATAATAATGATACACAGCTCTCCTGCAGGTTCGTCTGTTTGAGGAAAAATCAAACTAAACAAGCAGAAAGCATTTAAGACCACTCTTAGATATGTTCAATTTCAACCTCCAGACAGATATTAGAATCACTACATTTGAATAGTCCAAGCATCCACAAATACTTTGATCATGGAAATATTATCACATTCACTTGTACATCGCTCTATAAAACTATGGTCCAGTCACCTTTACATTGTTAACAACTATAGTTTCCAGATTCTAGTGTACCTTTTAAGATGTGGTGATTCTGTAGAATAAAAGTAAAGAGTCTCGTATAAATGTGTAGAGTGTACACAGTTTAGTGAGGAAAGCTTACAATTTTGCATAGCCCTTCAGACCAATTGCAAGTGCTTTGTCGTAAATACGCTGCACAAGCTTGCGGGAAATAAATCTGTCACCTATCTACAAAATTGAAGTGAAATGAGAAAACAGAGTGAGGATAAGGGCCAGTTTGGTGTTATGGCACTGTGCTGTTCAGACAACTGCATAAGCTTTGTTACAGAGAATTGTTGCCAATAATAAGGACAAGGCTACAATTGGTTAATATATCAAGAAACATTTTTATAGAACATGTATTAAGAACTAATATAGCCAAAATACCTTTTCAAGTGTGACAACCTAAATTTGCAGTGAATCTAAACTTGGATGAACACTCAAGATGAATCCATGGGTAAGTACCACAATGAGTTGTAATACATTGACAAAAAAAGCATGCTTGGTTCCTTTGTCTAGCTTTCTTGAGCACGGCAAACAAGAATTTTCTTGCTTTTGAGGGAGAGCCAAATGGACCATTATTCTCTAGCAAGCAGACATGGACCACCAGCAAGGCTAGGAACAGTTGGAAAAAGAAACTGAACAAGATCTAAGTCATTTAAGCATTTCCACATTTGGAGCAGTGCAAAAGTGAACTGAAGATTCTACATTATAAGCATTCAAGTTTTCCTAGTGAATAACGATCGAGCAACTAACCAACAGATCCCATGGAGAACAAATAGATACTGCACCAGCTACAGGAGTATTCTCTCCTTCTTCTCCAAGATACTTGACCTGTACAAAGATGTGGAATAAATATGTATTGTTTGTATCATGTTCTAAAATCAACTTATGCACTGTCAAAATTCTTATTGGTTGGGGGAGGAATTGGAATAATGATCATGAACATCATGGGATTCAGTACATACACAACATTAAAAAGTACAAGATTAATCACAAGTCTGACCATGACTATCAGATTACTGACCACCAATAGTGAATGCGAATGGAGTACCAGGAACAGATCAAAACCCAGCCAAAATTACTCAACGACAAGGCTAAAACAGTGGAGTGAGCTCAAAGAAAGTAAAGAGGAAGACTAAGCAGGTTGGTGAATGGGGCTGGGCTACAAGGTTTCATGAACCTTCACCAAATTTCAGTAAAACCCACTGCTTTACTAAAGTGTGGTTGAATTGCAGAAATAGTGGATAAGTCCAGAACAATTCTAACTGATTTGGTACTTCTTAAAAAATCTTCACATAATTTAATATATGCAAAGGAAGACTTCGAAGAATGGACTGTGTCACCTAGTTTCTTGTAAAAATAATTAAGTTCGTTCTGACCTTGGCCTGGTTAGAAAACAAATCACAATTGAAAACCCGAGACGAACTTAAACTTAAGCTTGTACATGCATGACTCTTTTAGCAAGAAGATACTACCATCCATAAAAAAACAAGTAACCTTGTGCAAATTTTAGCTAACAGTACAAATAACCTGCAACAAACACTTTTCCACAGTAGGTAGCAGGAAATGACAGACGTCAGAATATGAAATAATGAAACATGCAGATTGGGAAAAAAATTAAGATTACGCCAAGGAGAAACATGCATACCACAATATTGGCACCTATGCTTGTACCAATGCAAAACAGTGGGCTTTTCGGATATCTGTAATGCAGGTATTTAATGACCTCGCGGACATCTTCTGTCCAACCACCATTATAGAAGCAATCTGACTGCCAAAGGAAATAAAAATTACAAACTCAGTGGCGATGGATACTGAAAAAATCGTTTGGTATCTCAGAAACATGATGCAGTGTAAACAGACAACTTATAACTTAATGTGGATTTTATCATTTTGCACCATCATTGGTGGCAATCAGATATATGGCTAACAAGAGCCACAGATTTTGGGCAAAAACATTGAGCATTACAATCTGAACTGAAACAGAGATCATGAGTGTTCAAGAAAGTTTAAATGGTATAGTAAGTGAATTTTAAGTACTTGCTGTTTCAGTTAGATAACTTACAGTAATGGACACACCACCAAGACCTCTGTGGTTGCATACAACAACATTCCATCCTTTGCTTGCCATGGAATAAACCAAGTGTTTTGCATACTGCAGCAAGTGATTACATCTTTAGAATGACTATTTATGTTCAAAAAAATTTCTTTAGAATGACTAGCAAATATAGAAATAAGTTATACAACAGAAATACAAAGAGCTCTTTAAATATGCAAATACAATACAGAAATAAGTAAACATCAGAAAAATAAGATAGAAACTAACAGCAGCAGCAGAATCACTAGTTAATCCAGGAACCACAACTACAAGGGGTGTTGAAGCATCTTTAGAAATGAATCCGTCCGCAACTGCAAAATAACTGAAGAGGTCAGACAATACCATCATGCCATATATATATTACACAGAATATGGGTGTCTCTACCTTCCAAATCAGATGCAAGCAGCCAATCCAAAGCAATGGTTCCACCATCACGAACTGTGTACAACTGTCTGCAGTGCAGAGATTTTAATCAGTGCACTGCCAACTAAGAAAGCAAGAAAAGAATTTTTGTCCACTCCACTAAAAATTAGCATAGATCCTGAAGAACTTAGTTAAGGGGGCTTAAACTACAGAAAATCAGTTCTATTGTGCTCCTTGTCAGGAAGCACACAATTAGTTTCAATAAGAATTAAGAAATGCAAACTATTGCTATTCAGCTTTCTTTCTTTCTTTCTCTTTCCTTTCATGCAAGGTCCATATTGAATTATGAAACTATAAATTTCCCTGAACACCAATGGAGTGACCAAAATGATCTTGACATGTCGAGGAATTCATCCATGGAACTGAAAAGAGGCTGGCAAGAATGCCCAGAAATTCTTGCAGCGCTCAAGCCGCTCATAAAAGCTTATTGAGACATGCATATACCACTCCACAGCAAAATAGAAGCATCATGGACTTATTGACATTAGATCTTACTCCAATTTCAAATATGTACCTTTTATGATTCTTGTTTTGTCAAACTTTTTAGCTTTCACCATGACAGCGCATGGTTGATGTTACTAGATTCATGGTAAAAGATACTTTCATACTATCCTTCATTATTTGTAGTAGTCATATATTTTTTTTAAAAAAAATGCTGGGCAAAGTGTCATACTGAAGATCGTGTCAATTTCCTAAACAAATTATAATTATATTGCAATATATGGTCATGCGATGCTAACCATACTTGAAAGAACAAACTCTTGATAGTGTCCACTGTAAATCTAAATGGCTAGGGTGAATAAGGGAAGATTGAAGAATGTAACTCTCTCGTGGGTAACGAATATAACCTTTTGTACGTGAATGAAGGCGGCATCCCGTAGATGCCCAGGAACAATGTCTGCAAATGCGGGCTCGCCAGCCATGGCGTCGTCAGATACCTGCATAATTACACCACAAATCCATCATCACTCCCAACTTTTAAACTGGTCATAACCCAATGGAAACAATACGTCGCATGATTCAGAACACCACATTGCAAATTCCATCACAGTTGACCAAACACGCCCAATGCTGGTAATACCGCTACACTACGACGATCAGGCCTACAGAGCCCCATAGCCATACCTGCCGTGGAGCGAGCGGCACTTGGACGCGACGCGGTGGTAGATCTCCGAGACGGGGTGGAAGGTGAGCTCAACGCGGCCGCCCCGGAAGCCGCGGAGGATGTCGCCGATGACGTGGAGCTCGAGGAAGCGGTACAAAAAGACGGACGCGACGATGATGGCGGCCAGCACGTAGCGCTCCGCGGGCACCATCGCCGCCGCGCGGAGCAGCAGCTCGACGGCCGACTCGCCCTCGGCGACGGCCTCCAACATCCTTCGCTAATCGCTACGCCCGCCTTGAGGCCTTCGGGTTCTGCGATTTGGGAGCGGCGCTCCGCTCCGTGAGGAAGGAGGACAAGATGCGGCCGGACGCACGCCCTGGTCAACGTCGCGCGCTCCTCGAGGCAACCTCGCCGGCGCGGAGAGGCGACCGGTGCGGTGGGAGTTATGAAGCAGTTCGGGCGGCTATTCCGAGGTTCGGCGGAGCACGCGATTCACACCGTGGACGGACCGACTGTGATGCAAAGAGCGCTTTCCTGGTTCCCTGGACGATTACGCTCTTGTGGTTTGAAGTTGAAGTGACCTTCGCCGCTTCGCGTAAGTGGCGCGGGTGGGGCATGGATGTCGGGGCCACGTTGACGTCGTCGGGCTCGGGCTTTACCGAGCAAGCGACTCGCGAAGCGGGACCGGGACGACGTGAGCTTCCACTTTTACAGAAGCCAGTGTTCACGTTTGTTGGTGCGTGCGGCAAGACAAGCGATTGAGCAACCGTCCACGTGAACTTCCAGATCGTAATGTCCTTTTTCTGACGGAAAGAACTACATACACACAAAAAAAAGTCATAGAAACAATTACAATTCTATTTATATTAATTAGAGTCGGTATGGCATTCTAAAAAGATATGATGCTCGGATACTCTACTCCAGGAGGGTAGCGTATCGCGTACCCGATACTTATCGAATATTGATACGCGTTGGATACGCTCATACGTATCCCAAGTGTATCCAAGAAACCAGACACGTATCGGACATTCGGACGCGGCTGCAATACGTTAAATGGACTCCCGTGCGGGCTGCGGCCAGGCGTTCCCAGCTCAGGCCCACTCCTCCCACGTTGGCCCAACCCCTTCGATTCCCTCCCCACGGCCCGCGCAGCTTCAAACGCGCCGCCACGAGCTGTGTCACGGTCTGACGCACATCCAGCGACCGATGGACGATTGAGCTCCATCTCCGATGAAAATCGGCCAGCATCAGCCCTCAATTTTCTTCTGCTCGAGTCTGATTTGGCCCCTTTTATTCTTCTATCATGTCATTCCGTCGCTGCTACAGGATGTCGTCCACCCCACCTGGTGCCCATGGCCGGACGTTTGTCTCGTTGAATGGTCTAGCATGTTTTTGTTAAATCATTCATACGAACTAGCATGTTTGTTGTTTATTAATATACATGGTGCGCATCTCTCGATCTTTTTATTCTTTGTATATTTATTTTGTTTTTTATCTGTTGCATACGAGTTCTCTCACTTAAATAGACATCCCTATAAATAAACATATATTCAACTCACTAAGCTTGCTATTGGTTTGTTTTTTATTTACTAAATATAATATTAAAATATATTAACCGTATCTCCGTGTCATTAATTTTTGAACAATGGCGTATCCATGGTATCCGATACTCCTATCTGTATCTAGGCAATGTACTATTATGCAATAAAATGACAGGATGTCAGAATGTATAGGTACAAATTATTTGTTTTTGTCTAATTAACACATAAAAAATAAAAAGAGTAAGGATGTATGCGTTTTTTTATTGTATGCTAATTTTTCTCGATATATGAGAACGGAGGAAGTACTTAGGTAGAAAAAAAATAGTATCAATATTTATTACATCAAATTAAATATTAATAATCTTCACCTTGTTTTTAGCCGCCGGTATGGTGCCGCCCTACTTAGTCTCCCTATCCGCCGTGCCACAGCACTACGACATCCTATTCACCCATCTTATGCCCAATTTGGTGGTCCTCTTGAAGTTCGCCTACCTAAGTTGGCATGGGGCCTTGTCACAAGCTATTTCACTACTACTACGCTTGTCATATGTGTTTGACATTGAACGCGACCAACAACTGCTACCTGTGGCTCCACACCGTCGCCGCCCATGAGTTTTTTTCCCTCTAGCTCCGCACTTTATGGAAGGGCCGAAAAGAACAATGGGTCTACGTCGAGGACCATAGTGGCCTCAATGAGACATGCATTCCAACAACACCCACCTTGCCCTGGGACACCCGGAGTGTGACGGTGTGACCCCCCCTCTAGACACCTATGTGGTGAATGCCCTTCAAGAAAGTGTGATAGCCCTCCGGGGATTCGAGCTCACTGGGGCCATGGTATTGGCCTACACCATCACGTGCTGGCTGTCACAACTCTACCAATGGGTGTGTTTGGTGTACTCTTACTATGGAGATAACAACACCATGTGGACAATCCCTAGAGGTAAGCGATCTAATTTATCATTTCGTGTTCGACGTGTGATTGTGGTCGCTTTTCTCACGTTCCTTGTTTTTCTGTGGCTGGTAAGCAAACCATCTCAGGCCTTCTTTATATGGGGTACACCATAATCCATACTCACTTATGTGTGTTTGCATCTTAATTAGCCTTACAATTTGGCTTTGCTTTACAAGATGTGTACTCTTGTAATATGGATATGTACTTGTTGATGGTGCGATAGAGGTGATCCATCTCTACCAATCGTAGCTCAAATTATAATACCTAATATGCACATGAATATGTAAGTGTAGTGTTGGTTCATATATTGTCCTTGTAAGAAAAAAGATATAAAGATGTATAAGAACTAACACCTAAAAATATCAAGAAAGGGACACATTCCACGCTTACCACAGTTTTGAATTTAGTACCATATCGGAAAGCTAGCCTCGTTAAAACCAGCTTAAAAAGGAAGATTTCTACTACCTAAATCAGCCAGGCTTGGTGGTACGAGCCTGTTACTCCAACTTTGGAGGGCTAAAGAGTGGGTCCGTTTGGGGTTTTGCCTTGAGCCCATGTAAAGACAACATGCACGCAGAGGCCTGACATTCTCCTTGTGTGTCAGGCTTATACGTCAACTTGTCTTTGCCCTCATTTGGTTGTCCATTGGTTACCTTTGCCCCCCAAGGCCCATTGGTTGGCGGGTTTAGTTCAGTCTGGGTCCCAGCAGGCCTAGCTAAAGCCTGACACATATTTGCACGCTTTGCAGGGTTTCCACGAATGCAATACCCAATGTGAGCCTACCTCGTGGAGCTTGGGTTCGCGTAATTACCCCTCGTACCAACTCTTTTTATTTTTGCCAAAGTCAATAACAAGGCTTTTGTGGGAGAAACCAAATGTACACAATATGTTGTAATCCTTGTACATGACCATTTTGTTCTTGGTCAACCTCACTAACCCGAGAGACATGATCGTCTATTGTACCAAAGCACGCTTATAATCTATAAATATAAATACTCCATATGGACAACTATAAGTCATCCACAACATCTACTACTAATCTATATCTCTTATAAAGTTAATCCGCACTGTAAGTCTATCTCAACATACAAGTCATCCATATCATCCCTCACTAGATATCCACATTATCTCCTACTAATAGACATGTTATCCTACTAACTTTCAACCTCTTAATACAAGCAATCCACATCATCTCTACTTAATTTCATTCAAAATTCTATGCAATCCCCTCAACAACGTGTATATTATAGTTTATAATACAATAATGTAAGTGCATTTGGCCCCCAATGTGAGTTTTGGTGTATTAATGACAAAACAATTTAGAGACTAATCGAGCTCATGAGAATTATGTGCAGACATTAATGATAAAGCTTTATGACCCTTCGATCTTAAAGAAGAATCGACGTTCAACTCAATATGAAGGCTTGGCTTGACTTGTTTTACACTAGGTTTACTATAGGTCGTGCCCAAGTCGTGACGCCACTGTTACTTGCCGAGGCGCGTCTCATGGCCCCACCTCGCCTTGCTCACCAAGGTCGCATTGCAGCCGTGTCCGCTCTGCTCGCCTAGGTTGCTCCTCCATGGCTGCTTGGCCAGGTGCCCTATCTCGCTCGCCGGCCCCACCTCGCTCTCCTAGGTTGAACCTCCACCGCTGCTCGGCCAGGTGGCCATGCCTTGCTCGCCCAAGACACACCACAAGGTACAAGAAGTGGGTGGAGTCGGTTCCTTTGTTTTGAGCAGACGGATAGATGTTGTGTTTGGTTAAACTTATGGAAAGCGTTGTAAAAAAACAGAACATCAACGAGACAAGTGGAATCCGAAAGTGTTTTTCCAGAAGCCACTCCTTTTGTGTTGTACAATTTTCTGCTTTTATGCTTTTCCAAATAGGTGGAAATAGAGATATGTTTCATATTTGTTTGAAGGGGGATATAGAGGAGTAGATTTCATAATTGTTTCAACCAAAAGGCTCACAATAGTTTTTTCACTGCTCATGGCTGAACCAAACACATGTAAAAATGGATCCGACCCAATAACCCAACCAGGTTTCCTGGAACCAACCACACTATAAGCTTGTTTTTCTTGTCCTTTCTCTGTTCTTATGCTCCGCATAGCAGGTGGCGTTTCAGCAGAGTGCAGTATGATGAGTTTGCCCGGCTTGTTGAACTTCATGTTCTGCCGAACAACGATAGGTACTACTGCAACTCAACAAAGGAATGCCAAAGCAACCGAATGTATTCTTTTCGAATCGAACGAAGACAAAGTATCACAAAAACCTCTTGCTCATCACGGCACCACACATAATTATTACTGTTCCACAGCGCATGTAATAGCAGAGGGCCAGAGGCACGCGGGTGGCTACGACAACCAAACTGCAACAAACAGAAAACAAAAACACAAGCAACTCCACCCACACACGCGCCATCACAGTAAAAACTGCATCCCAGCCCGTAGCATCTATCACGCAGACCGGCGAATCAACCAATTGCCAGCAGGCCAACATGACCAGGCGTTGTTTAAACCAAATCCCTGATTGCTTATTCAAAATTCATAAATAATCTCCCTCCAGTCCAGAAGATATCGCAATAATCCCGTCAGACGTTCTGCGTGACGCCGCTGGGCGCCTTGTTGTGCTGCGTGTCGTTGTCCGAGTACCAGCCGTGCTTGGTGGAGTCGTACTTCTCGCCGTCGCCCCAGAGCGCGTAGGCCTCCTCGCCGTGCACGGCGTCGTCGCCGATGGCCAGCTCGTCGTCGGGCATGCGCAGCGGCACCACGAGCCGCACCACCAGGCACACCAGGCTGGTCACCACCACGTTCCAGGAGATGATGAAGAGCGCGCCCACCACCTGCTTGACGAGCTGCATCCCGTTGCCGTAGAAGGCGCCGCGGGAGTTGGTGACCGGCAGGAACATGGGGCACAGGTCCGGGTGCGCGAACAGCCCCGTGGTGGCGCCGCCGAGGAACCCGGCCACGGCGTGGGTGTGGAACACGCCCAGGGTGTCGTCCACCTGCTGGAGCAGGCGAGAGCGCTTGTGCACCACCATCATCGTGAACCACGGGATGCTGCCGGAAATCATGCCCATCAGGATCGCCGCCCAGCCCTGGACCAGACCTGCAGCAGACATACGTCGACGATTCGGCATGAGACGGCAAATTAGTTATTATACCAAGAAAATTATACGGTATATATATATGCTAATTTTTCTTCTTCTGGATTCTGGATTTTAGTGCTGCGGCTGAATATCGGAAGTCCATACATGGGATCGTCATGTGAGTCTTAAACTCTTAATTCGATGTCTGCATCAAATTATCAAAAATAATACTCTAGGTGCTTAATTAGCTCGTCAGACTGTCAAAGAACCAATGGAAGCACGCACACATGCAATCCACTGACAAGATAATGATCCTCCAAGATAATTGGTATGGTGATAACAGGTAGTGATCGGTCCAATCTGGGTACAAGGAAGTCCTCGTACCTTTGGAAAGAAGCAAAGTGCTTTGCTGCTTTAGTTTCCTTCTAGTTTCCTAGTAGAAACATTCAGTCTTTTAAAGGCAGCATGGTACTATACAAACACTGACGCTATCTATGTCTTGTATTGTGCGTGCTTGCTCTGTTCTACCTTCTTCTTCTAGCTCGATCCGTAGTGTGTAGTGCAGACGAATTAACAAACCGTGTAAGGTGGTGCAGGGAGGAGACTAGCGGTCTAGTCTGGGAGACTAGTGGTGCAGTGCAGGAGACTAGTGATCTGGTGCCCAGACTAGCGGTCTGATCTGAGAACTGCCCCCAGAGTGGTGGAGACTAGTGGAGGAGGAGGAGTGCCTGGCAGACACTCAGTGCAGTCCACGCCCAAGGTAAACCGAACAGCCTGTAGACTAGTGCCCCAAATGTTCACTATCGTCACTCGTGAGGCGGTCCCGCCCGTGGGCCAACAATCTATCTAGTGCGAAAATCTTTGGAAAAAATAGTGTTCTTTCTTGCTAACTTTTGTTCAGACCTCAACTCAGTTTTATCTCTCGTTCATGGAAATGGAATCCAAGCTGCTTTTTCAGCACACCTTTTTTCAAACTTCCTCAGTTGAGGGAAACACTACAGAGCACTCGTGCCAAAGTAGCCATCTAGATAAACTACAGCACTGGATAAAGTGAATAGACTTGTGACGCCGAATCCTGGATTCATTGGTTCGTTTACAGATGGGTCAAAAGAGTGTAGATTCAGCTGTGCAGTCGTGCAGAATCACAAGATAGAAAATGATTGGTACCAGTGTTTTCGGGCGGGCAGAAACGTCAGCCAGTCTATATATCTAGGCGACTATAAGTCACATAACATTTTAACCAGCTAGTAGTGGACCAGTAGTAATTCCACATTTGCGACAAATAGATGTGTCGTTGTGCGATATATGGCTAGGGATGCAAGGCACGTTGTCCACAAACCCGTAAATAGGCTAGATTTTTATGGATTTCTGAGTAACCCGCAACAATTTAGCCTAAGCTTCGCGGGTAACCCCCCGCCGCCTTGCATCCGTGTATACGCCGTTGTACACTTGTAATTAACGTATCCGCTCGTTTAATAATAATAATATATACTACAGCTATAGATAATGAGCCACAGGTAATGACAAATGTTACTACGTAGGAGTATTCAATAATCATCATCAGGCAGTAGTAGAGTAGTGATTATGTGGACCGAGTCGTGTATATACCTGCGCCGGGAGTGATGCAGACGAGGCCGGTGATCATGCCCTGGACGGCGCCGATGACGGAGGGCTTCTTGAAGAAGATGACGTCGAGGCAGGTCCAGACGAGGAGGCTGGTGGCGGCGCAGATGTTGGTGTTGAGCACAGCTATGGAGGAGTCAACGTTGGCGGAGTAGGGGTCACCGCCGTTGAAGCCAGCCCATCCCATCCACAGGATGCCGGCGCCGGTGAGCATGAGCAGGACGTTGTTTGGTGGGAACCTCTCCCTGTCCTTGGTGAGCCTGGGCCCGACCCAGTAGGCGGCGGTGAAGCCCGCGACGCCCGAGGAGAGGTGGATGACGTAGCCGCCGGAGTAGTCGATGACGCCCCAGTGGAACAGGAAGCCTCCGCCCCAGATGGAGAAGGCGCCGATGGTGTAGGAGAAGGTGAGCCAGAGCGGGACGAAGAGCATCCACGCCTTGAAGTTCATGCGGCCGAGCAGGGAGCCCGCGAGGAGGATGAGCGTGATGGCGGCGAAGACGCACTGGAAGTAGACCATGGACGCCATGGGGTAGAAGGGCGTGATCTCGACTGTCTCGACGACGTCGCTGTTGTGGAAGTAGTGCGTGGTCGCCGGGAGGCCGGCCTGGCTGAGGAGTAAGCCCTGGTTGAGTGAGTGGCCGGCTTTGCCCCAGAACGGGACCAGCTTCTGGCCGAAGGACATCTGGTAGCCCCAGATGACCCAGCACAGCCAGACGGCGGCGAACGCGTAGAGCGCCATGAACGCCGAGTTGACGGCCCACTTCTTCTTCACGATGCTGCCGTAGAGGATGACCAGCCCCGGCACGCTCTGCAGGCCCACCAGCGTGGCCGCCACCATCTGCCACGCGTTGTCACCCTTGTTGAGCCACTCCGGTATGCCGGTGCCCGGCTGGTACCCCGGCGTCATCGTCACATTGTAGGGAAGGCCGGCCATCCTCGCGGTCGCGAGATGATACGACGATCGATCAACTGGCTTGACTAGCTAGCACGCGGTGCCCAGTGCACCAAGCGGAGATAGTAGCAGCACCGTGTGTGCCGGCACTGATGAGGTGATCGATGAGGCCGGCAGCTAGGCGAGGCTCCCGGCCGTTATATATAGGGAACGGCTCGTGCGGCTGACGCGTGGGGGCAAATTAAGCTAAGAGCGGGCGAGTTCGGCGAGAGTGCCGATGAGTGGCTCAAGGACAAGAGAAGGAGTGGAGCTAGATCCTAGGCTTGAGGAACCAGGAGTATGAGTTGGCCAGTGGGGAGGGGAGGGAAGAATCCAAGTGCGGAGCATTGGTTTTGAAGGACCCCCAATCATGTAAAGATTGTGGCGCCAAGTCATCCAGGCCTCTTGCTTGGTTTTAGTTTAATTTGTGCTCTTGTTGTTGCTCGTCCTGGGGCTACTAGTTCCATTTCATTTAGCGCGAGCTTAATCCTGATGGGTTGAGGGTCTCCTCGGCCTGCCTGGACGTTCTTGTCGTGTTCTCGGGCCTATCCATCGTCCACGAACCTCAGACTAAAACTTGGCAGCTATGCAGTGTCCGAGTTCACATCAGCCTTGCTGTAGACCCTCTGAGCTGGCTGCAACGCCCGCATAGGGCTCGTTTGGACGTGAGAAACGGTTTCATTTCTGACGTGAATCACCAGAAACGCCTCCAGATGATTTTGTTTTTTCGCCCGAATTCAGAACAGTCGTTCCACACTTTCTTCAGCAAATTTGGAAACAGGGAAAGGGTAGTTTCACATAAAGACATTTCAGTTTCTTGAATTGAACATCACTAATTGGATACGCACGCATAAGCTCCAAGGGCTTTGTATCGGACGAGGACACGTGGATCTGGTATTCGTATCGTAACCGGGTAGGACGCGGACGTGTGAGCTCCGAGTGGAGTATGATTCATATCGGACGCGGACGCGTGAGCAGGATCAAGATTTGGTATCCCTAGGTAGATAATGATTTTAGAGTCTTTTTAGACGTAGAGATAATCCTTTTTTAGTGCAACAAATTTAAATGTGTTATATTTAAGTTGATCGTCGTCCAAAAAGTTACTAATTTTTTCAAAACATATTTTTATTTATATGATTTCTTATGAAAATAAACATCATCCTGTGAATCAGAATCTAGCCTACTAGCCAAACGTTTTTCTAAAATGATTCTGATTCATCACTTGAAACGTTTCTTAAAACTTAAAAGAATTTGGATCTGAAACGTTTGACTCTAGATTTCTACGAAACGCGCCCAATCAGCAAGCGCGTACAAAAATTACGTAAGTTACAGCAGAATGCGACGTCACGGCGACACACGACCGCATATGCAAATACGGCAATAGGATCTATCTCCACCTGAGCCGTTACAGCAGCATGCGACGTCACGGTGACACACGATTGCATATGCAAATACGGCAATAGGATCTCCACAGTCCTGCAACTGCAAGCATACTGATACAGTACATGCGTCTCAAGTGGTTTGGTTGGTTGTTAACCATGCTCCTCAATTCAGTTGGCGACTTACGTACAGACAACCCAAAAATGGCTACTAGGAATCCAGCCCAAGTTGACGACTGAAGAAGATCACTGAATCCGCAAGATTCCCTCCTGGTCCTGGAGCAGGAAGTCAATAGCGCGAAAACGAAGCCGCGGAATTGTCATCGTGTCTGCATATATTGAAAGGTTCCTTTGAGCCAACCATCCGAATTAGAGTTTAGAGACACCTGACTGAGACGGACCGATCGGTGACTTGTGCGTCCGGGCACAAAATTACAAGGTGTCATAGCAGCTGCAATACTAGCGTTTCTTTCGCTGTTAGCTGTTATGATGACTTGTGGTTTTGGTAGAGATACTCCTTGTATTAATTTTTCTCGAACGTGCACTGTAGCACGTATTTCATTAAGAGGAAGCAGAGAACATCCAAGCAAATACACGACGCAGCTACGAAAAAACCCTCATAGCACAGGTTACAAACCACGAAACAAGTGGTGTGTGACCTGGAGCAGAAAGTAAGAACAAGAGAAAATGATACAAAAGCGGGCGACTGGCCACGACACCTAAAACCTACAAACCGAGCCTGCAAGAAGGATACAACATCGCAAAGGTCGCCTACACAAAAGACCTTCCAGCAGCAACGGCGGCAAAGCATCCACCAACAAACCAAACGACGGCAAAGCATCCACCAGCGAACCAACCAGCGGCAAAGCATCCGCCGGTGAAATAGCGCCGCTATCCACTACAGCAAAGCATCCATAGCGGGGCAGGGCCAGGTCACTCCTTGTATTAACAACCGTTGGTTGGACAAAAAGGAGACTCCAGGCCTCTTGGAGCATGCACTTGTTTTGTTTGTGCTGAATTGCTGATGGCTAACTTTGACCGACCAAGGAGGTGAAAGACAACTAGCATACAAAACGCCAGTGCAGACTAGCATTATTACGGTATCAGGTGCGCCTATGTAAGTTGTCCGCATACGTGCAATCGTGCATCAACATATGGCATGGCATGAGACGGACGCTCGGACGGGCTGAAATCTAAATTCTTGGTGCAGCACATATTTAATTCTCCTGCTTCCATATTGCAGTACTGGCAGCTTGCTGGCTCCCCCCCCCCCTGGCCCAATTTGATGAGACACGGTCGCTTCTATGGATGATACAGTCATGGGAAACAGAACAAGGTTTAATTCTCGTCTGAAACATTGGAAATTTTCCCCAGTTCTTGTGGGAAATGAACTCTCTCGCTGTGTAACAAAATGGACAACGAAACGTACCAGTCTGATTGGGGTTGATACATAAACACAGGGTCACTTACGAAATATGTAGAAAAACAGAACAAACAGCGACATGCTCACTCATCATTCCAGGCACCAAGCACCACCATGATTAAAATAAGGTGATAACATCATAAGTCAGCAACTTGAGCATATAAGCCGAGAGCAGAAAATGACATGCTGTATCATCATCGGTATTGGGAGTTCCCACCCGTCAATTGGAAGGCCGGCAGAAAATGACCACTGCTGATGATTGCTTTGGTCTCGCCTTCATTGTCGACATGCTGATTGAGAAACAGCGATTAATAAAAGACGAGGAAAAAACACAGTGCTAGAGTGGCTGAGAAAATGATCATAACAACAATGTAAGTACCGTAACTTTGTGATCACCGAAAAGGGGTACATCCTAGAAAAAGGAGCGGGAAACACTAGCTGGAACATAAGAATTTGCAAGGACATTGACGAAAAAGGATAAAGTACAACTTCTATAACAATTAAATCTTCAGTAACAACTCAGAGTGAAAAACAAACTTTTGTCTAGAAAACAAACAGGATTCACAACTTAAAATGATATGTTCCAACAACAAAGTATTGCATAGTACATGACGCCATACAGAATAAGACAGTTATAATTAGTAAACATTAGAAAAACATAGTGAGCACTTCCACAGCAACAAACCAATCAGCTGCCTTGCATAAATCAACGTGTAAATTGAACTATTTATGCTATATATATCCAAATGAGTTTCCAAATTTTTAAGGCCTTAGTTGAAACGTTTTCTTGTTTCTGGCGGTGAGATGAGTTCCAACATTCATTAACCCTTAAAATCACTCTGAGCAGAGGAAGCAACTCGCACAGGTGTATCACCGCTACATGTTGGGTTGCCACATGACTTACTGCATGGTATTTCCTAATTTACACCTTCCCAATCAAGATCAATACCTGATGCGTTAGTGCCTCTGCAGCCTATGCCTTCTATTCTCCTTCTGGTGACTGGTTATGCATCTCGTGCACTTCCTATGATCTACACTTCAACAGAAATGGAAATCTCATATTCTCATGCACTTGGATCTTGGAATAAACAAACCCTTAAGTTAACTTGTATGACATTGATACAAAGCAGAAAATAGACCAGACAAATGATTGTATAAATAAAATGGCTCTCTTTTCCAAGGAACATTATAGTAGATTATAGTGCCAGATACCACTATGTAATGCCAAACACCAAAGCCAAGAAAAAACGTTACCTCATCATTTTACTTAATCGTCACATTCATGTTTTATTAATGTGTCATTCTTCATTTCTTCTTCTACTACTATAGTACTATGTGAATATGCAATGATGTCATGTGAGTTTATTTTTGGGCTTCAGGTCATATTTAGGTATATTGCAACAAGCTAAAGATAAAGTCATGGTGATGGTACATTTTGTGTGAGAAAACAAGAAAAACTTCAAAATAATTTCACATCTGCAGATGAACAGATGGAAACAAACACGCTGATGAAAACTGGAAGTAAATACATGTGTAAATAAATTGTTGACTGTTTAATAATCTTCAAGTATCATGAAAACATGATTTAGAGCATCTGGCTCATAAGTCATAACACTGAACATATGTGCAAAACAACAAATATGCTAAGCTGATGTGCAAAGCCTGCAAGCCTATCAAAAACCTCGAAATAGAAATATAAAAGCACACTGAAAAGTACGCATAAAAGCTGAACAATTTGAAATTGCCAAGGTCCACAAATGAAAAATATTTTTTTCTCAAACACAAAAACCACGTATCATTATATTAAGAAGGGAAGAAAGAAAGGGGATTGACCCCGTACAAAAAACCAACTCACCCACGCCTCACACCTTTGCAGTGAATTACACACTCACAAATGGAAAAATATTAGGAGACTTACATCAGTAGAGATTACTCGGCTCCACCATGTTAAGAATTCTTGAATGTAAGAATGGTTTCCAATTTTTGGTACTGTTGGATAAACTTTAAAATTGTACAGGACTCAGCCATCACAGGTTCTATGCTTCTGTGCTGTGTGTGTGCGATGCCAGAGAACCAAGATAGAGATACTGCCACATAATATCCTGTAGGCATACTGTGGGCGTACTGCTTTTTTTATCAGATCACAACTCAGTGAGGTTCGACATGCTCATCACAGGATGCCAGATCGGTAATTCACTGGATAAGGCTAACACCATCCTGATCATTGAAAAGGAATATTCTCAATTAACACAAATATGGTACCATTCAAAAAAGTTCAAATTGTATTAGTAAATTGTCATGTTTCCAGCAGGCCAAAGGAATGAGTAATTGAGTACCAAAGTCTTACATCCATAATAGAAAACTTCTCCTTCGTTTTGAGGTAAGGTTGCACCCACTCAGAAGTATGCACAGGAAGCACCTTACTTTCCGGCACAGAGGGAACTTCTGCTTCTTCTACTATAAAATAAAATTAATAAGATTCTAGTGACCAAGATAGTAAACTATAAATAATCCATAATATATTATATATTCATCAACCTATACCTTGAAGGTTTATCCTGTGCGTAACAAAGGACTGCAAAAACACAATTTTAGAGAAATTTTAGCCTGCGAGGTCATGATTATTCCAATACGTTAAAGAAGAGGGAAATTGACATTATATACATGAGTACTCATCAATAAAGATTGAATCTCAGCGTCAATTTATCAGACCTGCCATATTGATGGCATATATTCTCGATTAGAGAGAGTTCTTTCTTCCTCCTGTCTTGAATACCCCAAACCAGTTGAATCCGCCAGAATGTATTTTGAAGAAATCCTAAATACCATACAAGATACCAAACATTTTCAGGTGGGGTGCCCAAACTATATATTTTGAAAAATAAACAAGCTATCCTGGAGGCAAATGTTATTGAAATGTTCAACAACGATAAGGATCCATTAGTTCATTTTATATACTACAAAATTGCAATATGATTCACCTCCCATCATATTCAAGCAAAGTAGCCCACGCCGTGCCAAAACCGACCTAATGCATGAACACTCAAAGGTAGGTTCAAATAGAAAATATAATCTCAGTGTTTAATATCCCAAGCTTTGAGAATAAATGTTTCTGTTTTGAACAAAGAATAAATGTTTCCCAAATGATATATTGTTTGAACTGAAAACATAACCAACACTAATTAGAACAAATAGTTACAAACATTAAGACTGATATATAGCTCTGACGTCCTACAGTTACATGGCATCACAAAACACAAATTTGCAAAGTAGAATTGTTTAGAGAAAAGTGAGGCTACAATATTGATTACCGATTGAAGTCATTTGCTGTTGTAGTGCCTTCCCCATAAATGGGTGCCTTTGTGACCAAAACCAATGCAGGTTGAAGTTGTAAAAGCTTGCGTAACTCGTGGACAACACTTTCAGTAATGCTTTGCAGTGTTCTCCTGCACCAATAATTCTAATTGGCCCAAAAGCACAGAGATAAAATTCTGATATAAGCATTTTAGCTAAAAAGGAACTGTGGAACTGAACTGATACAGTTAAAAAATATAATTTGGTGCCATTGCTGCCTGTTAGCATGTCTATAACATGATTATAACTATTACATTGTTTTTTATATGCAGACAGTATCAGAGTGGCTAAATTTCCTGGCCAAACTACTCTCCCTTTTCCTTTCCCAAAGGCAAGGTCTTCTACTCCCACATGTTGCAAGGAAGTTCCTCCGAACAAAGTAGAGATAAAACCTTCTTTTGATCATCCACATGTCAACATTGACTTTAACACAATAGATGAAATGATAAAATAAAATAAAAAACTATGCCAAATCGACAGTTGCTGCATTGAATCTAGCATATGGAAAATCAAGCAGTTATGATAAGTATTAGTGTTTCTTCAAATCACCCTTTATTCTCTCGGGCAGGTTGAGAACCACGATCTATCCAGTAGAACGCACCAATGCTGTAAAAAGGGGTAGGGTTCAACAAAAGGTTAGCCATAGATATGGGAATGAAAATCAAAAGTTATCTGCCTTAGTAAAAAAAAGGTTAAATATCACTTGTCGATCTCTATGTAACAGCAATAAGCCAATAATTATAATAGGACCAGTTAGAGCAAAAGGTGTAACAAGTCTAACCTAATCTTAAATTCAGATAAAATATAGAGCAAAATACCTGTACCTGTCTATCATAACAAAATATATACCAGCACTGGACACTTCCCTCCTTGATTGAGACTGTACAGTCTAAAGTAATGAAATCAGAGAAAAAAGATGTCAGGTTTCATTTTCCACCAATGCCCCTATTAATTGCCTATCTATAGTAGTATTTGAGACTTGATACTATAGTATGTACTTGTCATGGACATACTTTAAAGGGTTAATTGGATCTGTGCCATTATAACTTTGTCGTTTCTGAAGAACACCATTACTATTCGCCTATTTTGAAGCATGCCATTATAATTCTTCATTTCCCACAAATATGCCACTGAAGACGTATGGACACAGTTTGAGCCCAGCTGCAGGCGTATACGAAGACGTATACTTCATCTCCCCTGTCACTGACACGCGGGCCCCACATGTCATCTTCTTCTTCCCCCTCTCATCACCTTCCTCCTGCTCCCACCTTCCGTCCATGGCTGTCGTGAGATGCTGGCATGGCGCTCAAATGACAAGTGGGAGGGCTAGCGACGGCGGAGGAGGTCGAGGGTGGCCTCCAAAAACACACCGAGGGTGCCCTCGCCGTGAGAGCGGATCGTGAGGCCAGCGTCGGTGAGGATGGCCCAAGGTCCGCCGGCGTCCCGTGGGAGAGCGAGGTTTCAGCTCAAAGTTAGCCACGAGATGTAGCGAGATGGCCTCCTCATGCGCTTGCTGGGCCGATGGAAGCAGCGGAAGGGCGCAAGATGGCTTGTGCGAGGAGATCGACGAGCTTGGGTCGACCCCGGCAATGGCGGCGGCGGTGCTTTGGTGGAGGTCTTTGGAGCAAGGAGGGCTTGTCTTTGCTGCTGCTGCTCATGGCTTGAGATGCCCATCTCCCCGGCCTGCCATCACCTCCTCCCCGAGGCCGAGCTCCTCGAAGCTCTCGGCCCTCGACCCTTCCCTCCCCTTCCCTTGTTGCGAAGCTTCGCTCCGTGGCCCCTCAAGGCGGGCCTCGGGATGCCAGGGGACGAGGCGTCCTTGAGGTGATTTGGAGGCGGGCGCTCGAGGAGGAGCTCGTGCCACGGAGGGGGAGCGGGAGTGGAGGTGGGGCCGAGGGGGGGGCGGCGGCAGAGGAGAGGCGGCGGCGGAGGAGGCGGAGCCGGAAAGGACGGGCGAGAGAGGAGGAGGAGCGACCAGCAGGCGGGCGCCATCGCCATGGGCGACATGGCAGGCCTTTTGCGCTGGGATGGAGAGAGAGAGATTCGAAGAAGAGGAGGAAGAAGATGACATATGGGGCCCGCATGTCAGTGACAGGGGAGATGAAGTATACGTCTTCGTATACTCCTGCAGCTGGGCCCAGGCTGTGTCCATACGTATTCAGTGGCATATTTGTGGGAAACGAAGAATTATAATGGCATGCTTCAAAATAGACGAATAGTAATGGCGTTCTTCAGAAACGACAAAGTTATAATGGCACAGATCCAATTAACCCTACTTTAAATGGCCCCGAACCCAAGCGGCACGACGATGCCAATGCCCGGCGGCCACACCGCAAGGGCAGAGGATAGAGGAGTAGGAACTCGTGATCTTTCTTGGTTAATCCAAAGGAGATACAATCTCATCCATATATAGATGAGAAGACTTGACCCTTAAGAAAATAATCTCTAGAGTTAAGGAAAAAACAACTCAATCTGATCTGATCTGATCTAATCTAATCCCTAACTTAACAAACCCTCAGTGGAACCAGCGTAAACAGCAACGTGTGGTGCTGTTCATGTGAACAGTGTGCCAACCCTAGGGAAGCCTGGATTGACCCTTCCTCCATCCTTGGGCTCTAATGGGCTGGACATGATAGTGCTCCTTTCTTGTAATGTGTGCATGGACTAAAAGTGAAAGAAGTAATTCAGACGCAAGGAAAAAATATCTTATTTCTGGGCAGAGCTTGGACTCTAAAGCAAAGTAGTATTAAGATGTTGTGCATAAGGTGGTGAGCGTGAAAACAGTTCTAGAAAGCCAGTGTTATTGACACTTCTCAAATTTGGACCTAGTAAAATCCAATTTTGTTCGACAAGACTAACGAAAGAAAAAAAAACTCAAATGATTTCAGAAGTGACTAAGTGAGAAGTGTTTGATGCTAAATGTGTAACATACAGATACAGCATAGTTGGCTGTTAGCAAATATCATCTTTTCCAAAACACACACAGAAAATTTCATGCGTGGCCAATAGAAATAAGCAATTCTGTATTCTTGCCTTGCTAACCGCAGAAACTTTTTTCCCAATTACTAACCACAAATAATCCAGCCAGTTCTTTCCAATGGTTCTATAGGTCAGCAGTAGCAATTTAAGATAGACCAGTTGCTATAAATTTTTTTTTTACACCAGCTCAAGCAAGTGAGGAATATATGAGCATGCCAACCAGGTAGTGATTTCCTGAGATATAGGCCGCAAACACAGAGAACTTACCTTCAAAGCAGCTATGAATTCAGGACTGTTGCAACATCGGGCATACAAGAAGCGCTGCATGCAATCAGAAAACAGTGTGTTTTCAAGAGAACACTGAAACTCATCTTTAGTGCCATCATTTTCAGGGTCTCCATTTCTAAGGTGCGCTGAACCTGTCAAATGTGAAAGGGGCTCTATGAAGATATGCAGTGCAGATTGATGAAATTATAGAGCATATAAAAGGTTCACACTGAGCCCAGGCTCTTCGATATGCAACAGCGCAAGTTAAAAATACAAAATCAAGTATGTAAGTGGAACTTACGGCAGCCCTCTGCAATACGATTCCTCAGAATTTGAGCCAGCCGTAGCACATCAAATCGGCAGTCCAAGTCCAAATACATGACCGCCCTCCCCAGCCCCCCAAAGTAGATTCCCTCCCACTCCTTTGGTAATATGCACTGCACTGCAGCCTGAGATAAGAAACTTAGTGTATTTTAGCTGTTCCATTTTATTTGAACAAGGATGGAATTTTAATGACAAATTAGTCCCGGTGTTTTGCTTTTCCAAATAAGAGTCTCTTGTTTGTATAATCTTGAAACTCAGTATCAAAATGCAAAGTGGTTTTCCTCATTTCCAGTATGAAGCATTGCAAGTGAGCAAGCGCCAAGAGGATGGAACAACTGTGTTCCCTTGTTTTGAAGATATAAGGTATGCATCAACAGTGTCAGAAACTATTGTAGCCTATCAAAGTTGCCAATATTCCTTAAAGTCCTGCAAATTTCCAGTTATAAGTATAGAACCTAACCAACATTGCATTAGTACACACTCAGTTACTCATGATATAGCTTATATGTTTTTTCTCATTTTATGACGATACTCTTGGCGACCATTACTGGAGACACTTCCAGCAATACTGCGAACGCGCCACCAGGTTGGCCCCATTTGCATCATATTTTGGGCCAAAGGAATAGAAACGGTGTGGATTTGCTTACCGTGAGGAGGAGGTGGGACTTGCCAGAGTTGGACGGGCCGGCGATCTCGACGACGTTGCCCGGGCGGAGAGGCGCGCGGTGCAGTGGCGGCGGGAGGGTGATGGGGGGCCGCGAGGAGAGTGAACGGGAGAGGAAGGCCGCCGCCGTCTCGTCGACGGCTAGCCACGCTCGGGGGTCTCTTCCCGCCTCTCCGGCCATGGCTAGGGCTCTGGAGCTCTCGTCGCTCTTTTTCACCGGAATTTCGAAGCCTTTTGGGGCGCTCGAGCCGAGTAGCTAGCAATACGGGCTGGGACTGGGAGTTGGGGACACGAGTCTTTGTTTGTTCGACTGGCTGGTCAGCCGGCTTTTCTGTTTTTTTTTTCTCAGCGGAACTATGTTTTCTCTCAAAACATTCTAGAATAAATAGTATTTTCTAGCATTAACGGTGAATAATCCAGTTCAGCTGAACACGGGCCAGCCGGCTCAAGTTGGAGCACGTAGGTGTCCAGGTCACCAGAGCATGTCAGGAGACACCGAATCACCCATTGCCAATAAACCATGACTCAAATTACGGTCGATTAATTTGATGCAAGTGAAAAATATTGTTTATTGGCTGAAAAAATACGTCTTAAAAACCAAGCAAACAGGACGAAAGTTGTCTCAGCTCTCAAGTTGAAACTCAAGCAGTGTTCGGATTTCGCGGAAGTGCTACTTTTCTAGGCTGCTATTGATTTGCATTTTGGGACTATTTTGTTCATGGCCTTGGCCCTTGGGAGGTTTATCCACACAAGTCAAATCGTTCTTAGGCACTGAAAATTGACGATCTAGGGCATGTTCGTTTGAACTTATTAGCCAGCTTTATCAGCTATAATCTATAGTATTTTTCTTTTACAACAAAACAGTTTCAGTCAACTTATCAGCCGACTTTAATACCAGCCGAACAAGCCCTATAATTTGCTTGGCCAAGGCAGGTTCTTTATGGCGCATTTGGTTTGCAGCACCGACCAGTGCTGGAGTGGTCCGAACCTACGTTTGAACTTGTGTGATTGTTTGGTGTAAGTCATGGAATAATCTGATATGTCACTGGTTCATTCTCTGTAGCAATAATTATAGGACGATTCCGAACCAACCCACGCCGTACGGAGCGGGTGCGGGCGCTTAAACCAAACATGTTACAGTATATTCGCTTGGTCGTAATCATAGTGGATTATAAGTCAGAACAGTATTTTTTCTCACACCAAATCAGCCAGTAGTAATAATTCACAATCGTTTCAGCCGAAACGAATAGGCTGTTAGTCTCTCGTACAAAACAAACCCTGCTGATGCTAATTATCTGCAATTGCAGCATGTTATGTCAATCATTTTGTATTCTTGCTAATACAACTGCAACTTTTTATCAAGAGAGCATTTTATTGAACTCGATATAATTACATAGAGTTGATACAACTATTTTAAGATTCCTTTTGACCATAAAAATGCACAACTTATAAATTCTTAAAAGTAAAGATATAGACACATCAATCTCTTATTATCAAACCGGGAGAGTTTGGCCGCCAACCAGCGTGGCCACGTCGCCCGAAATTCCCTCGTCCGTCGGACCTTCCATCGGATGGCCACCATTGCTTGAAACGGATTTTGTCGGGAGCGGATTCTAGGCCTGCTTCTTCTCTTTTCCGTGCTTCCCTCTGCTGTTGTCCGGATTCTACTTCGGAGCCAGACCACCAAATATGTACAGCCACTTCCGACCCCCCTTTCCGGCTTCTCCCCCTTTCTTCCTCTCTCTTCGTCGCTCCCTCTCGCTCTCGTCCGCTCCCTCCCGCTCTCCCTCTCCATCCCAGTCCTTGACGGCCATGGCCACAGCCCACCACCGCCAAGGCCGCCTTGCCCGGCGGCACCTCCCTAGGCGGATCCGGCTCAAGATCTGGGCCACCACCTTACAGGCGGGAGGGCTCGCTTTGCCGCTTGGGACCCATTGCTGCAACCAGCCAAAACCTAACTCCGTCGCTTTCGTGGCCCTGCCGCTCCGTCGTCCACCTCCTCCTGCGCCGGCCTCCATTCGCCGGCTACGCTCCTTCGCGGCCTCGCGCGGGAAGGAGCCCCCGCAAATCTCGGCATCGGTGACTCCGCTCTATGTCAAAGGGGCCCGTCCACTGCGTCCTTGGGGGCTCAAGGCTGCTCCGTCGTCTGCGACCTCTGGGCGGTTGCACGGCTGCGGTGGTGCGTCCTCTCCGGAAGGTTCCAGGGGCCGTCCTTGTTCTTCACTGCTGCTCCTCTTTCCCGTCCCTAGCTCTTTCTCGTACCTGCTAATTTCCACGCTTGCGCCATTTTGTTTTACCTTTAGTGCGAGTCGAGGGCGCCCTCGACGCAACGCCGCACACCAAAGATAGGTGGGACCCCATTGCAGCCTGCTGGCCGGCCCAGGCGGTGCCGGTGCTGCACCACTGCGTGGGCGAGACCCGGCGTTGGCAGCATGGTGCGAAGGCGAGCAACCACTCCCCCGGCGCGTCGTCGCAGCGGCGCGGATGGATCTCGCTCTAGTGAATCCCCGTTCTTGGCCGGATCCGTCTGCTGGGTGGCCGGATCTGTCGCCTGGTTGGCCGGATCCGTCGCCTTCTAGGCCCCTCCGTCAGCCTCGGTCGTGGACAACGACACACGCAGGAGCGCTAGGGTTACCGCTTCCACGCCATTCAAGGGAGAGAGTAGCTTACAAGGTGGATACACTGATTTCCAAATTATTTTTACATATCTCTCTCTATCGAAATCAGCGTGCCTGATCACTTAGAACACGACATGGCTGTTATCCTATTGTTGATTTCTTATTTATGATACGTACAGTTCTGCTTGCAGGTGTATGATGAGGCTCAATGTATGCTAATTATTGTGCTCCAATCTTTCGTTTTTTGTACCTGACATATCTATATTAAACTTCTAATATTGTTTCCATGCAAAGCTTAAACATATTTTTTCCCTGCGTCTTAATCAGGTGATTTGCCAGCGCGCACAATGGCGCGCGTGATGGACTAGTGATTATCAATCCGAAGATTAGACCGAGCTATATGTCTAGGTAAAAAGTCCCTTAACCATGCACTTCAATTGTCACGCTGCCATAACTAAATAATTGTTGGTAAGTAGAGGAGACAAAAAAAAATATAGATCGATACCATGTTGGTGTGTGCAGTTTGGGAGATCTACAGCCTGTTCGCTTGCTTGTAAACGATCGTAAATTTCCAGTCGGGAATAGTGTTTTTCTCTCACACCAAACTAGCCAGCAGTAAATAATCCACGATACGATACGGCCTCCCGAACAAGCTGCTAGTAGCCTCTAGGAGTAGATAGAGAACCACTGTGAAATAAAAATGTCATGTCTGGATAACGTATTGGATTTCTAAGGCCATGTTTAAATTTTCTAACACTGAAGTTTAATCACCTAAAGTTTAGTTGTGTGTTCGGATCTTATTCTAAAAGTTTCATGAAAATTTAGCCCTTGTTTAGTTGTAGGAATTTGGATTTTGGGGCTACTGTAGCATGTTCGTTTTTATTTGGCAAATAGTGTTCAAATATGGACTAATTAGGCTCAAAACGTTCGTCTCGTAATTTCCCACCAAACTGTGCAATTAGTTTATCTTTTCGTCTACATTTAATGCTCCATGCATAGGCCACAAACATTCGATGTGACAGGTACTGTAACAACTTTTTGGAAGTTGGGGTGAAACTAAACACGCTGTTAGTCCAACTAATTCACATTTGTCAACTCGTGAACTAGCAGTTCTTAGTTGAAATCTGGACTAAAAATAAGTCAACTCATTAGGGCACGTTTGGATATCTAGACTAAAAATTAATCCATCATACGTGACCATGAGGTACGGCTGGTACCTAAATTAGCTAATTTCGACTGATTCAATAGTATTCTGTGAGGAAAAATAAATTGATCCGGCTGAAAAGTAGCTCTTGTAGTCTCCAATTAGGACCAAAATTTTTAATAGACTTCTAGTCTCCAATTAGGTCCTAGAGTAATATAGATTAATCTTGAACTAATTTTTATAATAGACTTCTAGTCTCCAATTAGGACCTAGTAGCTCTTGTTAGTCAATGATTAACCTTCCTATCTGGCACTAAAAACCCAGGAGATGGGAACTTATTATAGATCAGTTGGCTGGGTTTCTTATGGTGGAACCTGTCTATCCGGGTTTAAGTTCTCGACTTAGCACGGGTGCTTATATTTTCCTGAATTTATTCCATGATTTATCAGCGCTATACTTTCAGTGGTAAGCGACGTCCCCGTCGACAGCGAGGCTCTTATGGTGACTTCGTGAATCTCAAAATCTGCCAGCTCAGTTCTTCAGAGATGATTAAAGGGGTAGGGTTTGCGTATCTATATTTATAGGGGTGAGTATGCGTGCGAGTTGTGAGCGTTGTGAGCGTCTAGGTTATACCGCATAATTCTAAAAAAACAGAATATGGCTAATTTTTAGCTACCGCTGGTTATTAGTCCAAACAATCTAACATAGGTCCTAACTTAACAATTGTATTATATAGTATTCGATTATGAGGTAATGCGCAACCATAACAAGACTATACGAGAGTCCGAAATACCACCGATGTTGCATTGACATTTGGGACCTATAGGGCAGAATCTAGCTGACATGCTCATATGCGATGGTATTTCCAACTCTAGCACCTTCGGAATGGAATCTATGCGCTTGTCTAGGCGTACTCGGGTCATAACACGAACATTTACGTGTATGTTCATCACATCAGAGTCGCTGGGTCATATGAGTTAACGAGAACGAGACACACCAATCTGATTCAACAAAATAGCTCACCACCCTAAAAACGGGCGTCTGTTCTTTAGGGAAACTGTATGTTTTAGATCTGTTTATATATCATTGCTACTCTGTTGTGTCACTCGTGTCAGTTGTCACATGAGCTGTGCAGCCCCGTTCGGCTGACCCAAAAGCCGGTTCTACTACTTTTTTTAAGTTAGAATAATATTTTTCTCTCGCAATAATTTAGTCAGAACAGTGTTTTTCAGCTAGTTTCAGTTAAAATTCAGCAAGCCGAACGGGACCATTAAAAGATCTCTGCTTAGACTATCTCCAACAACAACACCTAAAATACAAGATCCATTTAGGTAGCGCTATAGTCAAAGGATTCAATACCCATTCGACATCTTCTCCAACAACATGACATCAAAGAGAATCATTTTTGCAAATAGATTT